GGGCGGGTGGGAAGGGGCCAGGCAGGGGTCCCCCCATGGTTTCCTCTCTCCTCTACTAGCCCCCTCTCCCCCACCCCCTACTTACCAGCTCCAAGCCCAGCTGCAGCTCCCTGCTCCAGCCACCGAGGACTGTCCAAATTATTGAAGCTCTCCGAATCTTTTTTGAAGATTCAAAGAGCTTTGAATTGATTCGGACCTTTTAATTGGTCCCGATTCGATTTGGATTCGGAGATTCGGCCACCAAATCAGGCCGAATCGCATCAGCACCTAAAGCTTTGCACAGCCCTAAAAACTAAAATTTAAGGCAGAATTATTTCACTACAAGACAGACTAATAACTTGCAAGTACACAGAAAAATGAACAGCAGCTTAATGTAAAATAGCTTAAAAATCAATCCAGTTAAGCCAACGCAACTTTCTTGTATTGATTACGCCTAAAATTAAACAGATATGCTGCTTTCCCTGTTACACTGTGATGACACTAATCTTATTAACTGAGGGGAAACCTTCAATAGAAGAGTTGCTGAGAGACAGTAGGGCCTGCCTTTCTTGTTAGCAGCTGTCAGTACATTTGCAGTTTTATTATGTGTTTGAAAAAGGTAAGCCTCCTGGTTCTTTAAAGCCGTAGGAAATACATACATTAATGCCACACAAGGAAAGGGTCACAATCTTAAGCATGCTTGATAAGCATTTAATAACCAAGTAATTTTAAAACATATTTTAAGCTTAGAATCAATATTTTAAGCAGCCCGGCATGAAGTGTCCTTAGAAGTAACTTCAGTCCTTACCAACTGTAAGATTTGCCAACTGTGGAGGGAGATCTGTAGTTACTAGTCGATGTCGAAGAATCTGGTTTAGCTGGTGAAGTGTAGTTTGCTTCTCACTTTTTGTAATTGGATCAGGAGGAATTATTTTATCCTGTCAAGGTAAGCATCAATAAGTCGATTCATCTCAAAACAAAGTTAAAGCATTACTAAATAAATTCATGTAATAAATTATAAAGACTAAGAGAAAGTCTGAAAAATATAAAACTCAAATCCAAGATGAGGTTCCCCCCATCATTTAACATGGGACAGGAAAGCCTCCCATTTTGGATTATAAAGCAGTAGGGGACAGGCAGCGGCTGTGGGTCTGACCCCAACCCAGCATGTCACAGCCAGTGTCTACCCAATCCCACCCCACCCCAAGCCTCTAACTCCCCTGCCACACCTTCCCCAGTTCCCCTCCCCCAACTCCACAGCTTCTGTTGTCTGTGTCCCAACCCCTTTCTCCCCACTCCTTCTACACACACTTACCCTTGCTCCAGCAGGGTTTTGTCCCCACTCCAGCCTCGGGCACAGAGAATGGGTTTGCTCTGGCCCCAGCCTAGCCTGGTAGCAGCAGCAACTCCTGCCAGGCCCTGGAGCTGGAAATGCCATACTGCCACAGATCAAATGCATGCTTTGTGCCACAGGCTGGAGATACAGTAAGAGTAAGTAGCAGAGGGAAGGGGCACCTGAGTTAGCAAGGGATCCAGGCACATGGGAGGGGGGAGCAGAAGCAGCAAGTGGTATGGGTGGACAGGCAGCAAGGGGCATCGAGTGTTGAGGGGGCAGGGGGCAAGCAAGGGGCAGGGGTTAAGCTGCTTGTCCACCCCCCCACCATCCCCACTCCCAGCTGCCTCCCTGGTATTGCTCTTTCTGCTGCAACAGTGTGGGAGACAAATTTAAAATGACCCTCCAATAATTAGATTGCTTACATGAAAAATTACAATAAATTAATAAAAACTTTTCAATGTATAGAAACTAAGTACTGGCAGGGGGAGGTTATTCTATGTTCATAGAAAATTAGGGTTGGAAGGGACCTCAGGATATCATCCAGTCCAACCCCCTGCTCAAAGCAGGACCATGCCCAACTA